ACTACTACTACTACTACTACTACTACTACTACTACTACTACTACTACTACTACTACCGTTCTATACTACTTCCAGCTACTATTGCTTCTATTATGTATGTATACTATACTACTAACTAACTACCGACTAGAAACTACTGCTGCTGCTGCTACTACTACTACTGCTCCTACTGCTCCTAGTCCCACTCGAACAGAACCTTTGCCTACAAGGCACACATCTTGAAAAGCCCGGATCCATCTATTGAAAAAGCATTGAAAAGGCCCAGTCCCATGAGCTGTTTCTTTTCTGATGTGGGGGTCACTTCAGAGTTTCTCCGGATCCCCGTGCAAGCTGAGCCAGACTGCTCTGTTCTAAACCTACAAGCTAAACCAACACCTGCTCATTGACCAAACAAACATCCTGCATGGAGGTACACTATATCGAGACATATCAAAACAAAGATCAAACCTTGGAAGCGTCACAAAGCACACATTCCCAGGAATGTGTCTTCGTTCGCCTATCCGGAAAAACATACACGTTCTCTCCATGACCTATGCACGAGGAGAACCTCCTCGTGGTGTGCGACTCCTTCGATGCTGGACCGCGAGAAACCTCGCGGGGCGCGTTCAGCGGCCTCTATGACACTCTCCTTCTCGGCACATTCTTCCGCGTCACGTTCCTCCGGGACCACCTCCACAGGGAAGCAAGAATGGAACCAAGTGTGGCCAACTGTTTCCCAACTCTGGTAATAAGGCCCAAGAAAAGAACAAACCAATGGAATTAGCTCACCTGGTCATTGCACCCTCTTTCCTCAGAGGACTCAGAGGCAACATAAATGCTGGCCATGATTGGATACAAATAAGCATTGTGGTTGCACCATCGTCGTCCCCTAGGTCTTGAGCTTCTAGCACTCAACCATCTCGTCAACTCTTCACCAAGTTTGAGCCCCACCGACTGTAGGTATCTTGGAAATTCTTCACTTTGCTTTAGTTTAGCAAGTACTGCAGAAGTTTGCAATCCATTCTTCACCGCCAGCCCCCATGTGGAACCAACCAGCATTGGACACTCATTGGACAAAGCGATTGTTTCTTTTCACCCCAAACATGGGTGTCTCAATGGTGTGAACGCCACTGCCTCTCACTTAGGGCATGCACTGGTGTCTCGTGTTTCATGTGTTTTGTTCATAGTTCCCACCGTTCCCAGTTCCCACCACTCATACCGCTCTACACATCTCACCTAGAATGATGGGTACGCCCTGGAAGATTAATATGGAACCTGAGAAACGACTGGGTCGTAGAGGCAAATGGTCTTCCAGTCTGGTCCATTTTCACGTTCCATGTTAATCATCTCAGGATATCTCAGGTGTATATAATAATCAATCATGGTCCATGTTATTCATCTCAGGTCCATGTTAATCAATCAAGAATTAATCATTCCATGGTGTTATCCATTGATCAATCAGATTACTTGGGATTTTTTGGGTATACAATCTCTTTGCGTTCGGCCCACTGTTTTGACCCACTACTCACTCACGATCAAAGCAAGCGGCCCACGATGATTTTCCGAGACCCAACTGGAATTCATAATATGTAAAATCCCCTAGGCCCTACTAGGACAGTTTTGACTGGACATCTAGCTGTGTTCTTTAATTCATCAACTGTCTACATGCCTGAACATCCACTCGCACCATCAGCCAGGCTGCGCAGATCTTCGCCCTGTATCCCTCCCGATCTTCTCCTTCTCCCAGCGCCAGGCGCCCCAGACCCCACTCCCATGTGCTCCCATGCACCGTTCCTCCAAGCGATTCGCAGGAATGATCCGGTGCTGCACCCACTCCTGCGACGATCCGTTCCCGGGACCCGCGGTCCGAGCCGAGACAACGCGAGAGGACCGGTCGGCTCTCGCGGGTCCGTCCCCGGGTTCGGGTCTTCAGATGTGGTCGGCGGAAGCAACGCCAAGTGGGAATCCTTCTTCCAAAGAATCAAGCTCAGCCTCTCAGACGTGACGTGCTCAGAGTTAAGCTGCTGCGAAAGCGAACGATGAAGAATCCTTCCGAAAAGAGCCTCAAATTCAGGGCAAAGGTCTATGACCTCAATGGCAATACATGACATGTTTGAAACAACAAACAAGGAAGACTCAGGTAGCTTGAGGCAACCAAACTCGTGAAATCGCTAGTTCTGAGTGAAGCAACAACAACACCCTCTTAGGAGCTCCGTCCTGCTCGACCGAACCTGAGTTCACGGCAGGGTAAGGGCACGAAGCGAAGCTGGGGGAAGTCTGGTTTAAAAAACGTTCAAAAGGGCGATAGAATTTCTCGTGTCGCCCTGCTTTGCAAAGAATTTATCCACAAATACTTCCATGATGTTCCATGGCTGCCAGTTATGGATGTCCATGTATATGCTTGTATGATGGTTTCTCAAGATCCAGCACCGTCACATAAAAAACCTCAGTTGGTCGGTTGTGATGAAGCACCAGCACTATCCATCATGGCCCCCAACCTTTCACACAATGATCCGAAGAACATCCAATCGCTGCTTTGTGCTGCTTCTGGTCACATCCATGGACCATTCAAGAACCGCTTTGTTCTCTGGAAGATTAACATGGAACCTGAAAACCATTGGGTTGACAAACTAGATAACTAGATGAAACGACAATTGGGTTGTATACCGGTTGCATCTGGAAGAATATGGAAACGAACGATGGAAACATGGTTCCATCATAGCCTTCCAAGGTCGGTCCATGTGGTCGGCCACGGTCCGTGTAAACCGGGGTCCGTCGCACCGATCGGTCCATTCACACCCAGTCGACCGAATTCACTTCAGCTGAGAATCCAAAGAAGGACATTCGGCACCGACAGCTGAATCTCATCTAATTCCCACTCCTATTGACGTGATGTCTTTATTTAGTAAATGATTGTTTTATGCATGTCTAAAGGTTGATTTATATATATATATATTTCTTTAAACAATGATAAACCATTGTATGGACATGTTCAAACGGTAAACACCCAGGGGGAAGGAGTCTGGGTGGGACCATTGGGCGACCCGCACCCAGCAGCATCGGCAGGGAGTCAGCACCGCTCCAGGTGGCAGGGATGGACTGAGCGAGCGGGAGGGCCGTCGATGTCGATGTCGGAAGGACAGTCATCGGGTTATACGGTCCGACATGTCCTGTTGTTAAGACATTTCTAGCGACCAAATCCCAAACCTGGAAAGAGGTGGAAAGGGGGGGGGGTGTCCATTGGAGCACCCATGAACGTGATTGAACCTCTATTTGCAGTGGATTTGAAGGCTTTAAGCTGGTATAAGCAGTTTTTTCTCTTCCCGTCTACCACCAGAAGGAGCCAAAACCACACCTGCCCAGCTCCAGAGAGTCCAAATGCCTTTCGCCAGGAGTCCAATGCTTCTTGCTAGTAGCTTCTTGCCCTTGTTACGAACATAGCTTCTTAGCTTGTTACATGCTACTATACCTATGCTACTACTATATAGTAAGGCAATGCAGTTGCTCAGATGGTCCAGAAGCGCAGTCGCTCAGTTTCACATCCTTCCTCCTCTCCCCGCCCACGGTCGGACGCGGACGCGCCTCCTTTTCGTGGGACACCGATGGGCAACAGGTCTCTTGCAGCATAGACACGACCTGCCGGATCTGCGAATGGTGAGGATTCGAGCGGATTTGGCCATGACCAATAGAGATAGAGAGACCCTCTGCACCCGATGGGCGCAAGCTCTGGACTTGATGGCTTTTTGGGTCGTTCGTCCGGGTGGGAGGTTCGCTCATCTACACCCGTTCGTGCTCAGCCCCTTCGGACTCCCCAAGACACGCATGCGACGCATGATGGAAGGTGCTGCAGCCTGAGAGGCCACACATCGATGGGCTGAGACTGGGATGTTTGGATCCTGGAACCGACATGGACGTGGATGGCCTGGCCCCTTGGAAGACCATGAAATCCACTACAAACAGGTGGTGCCATCCACTTCCATTTGAGTTCCAGGGAGAGTACGCTCGCGAGCGAATTGGTCTTTGGCGCCTTGCCCATGGCCACTATAGCTCTGCAGCAATTGGTCGGCCCACTCGGCAAGCTTTGTTGCTGAAGGGCCAGCTAAGGCTCTGCCGGTTGAAGCTGCTTGAGACCTGTGTGTTGACGGTGCATGTGAAGCTGTATATCGTTCTTCGATGCGTTAGGATGCTGTGCTGCGTGTTTGGGTCGACCGTTATGGCGGGGGTGCTCCTGTTCACCATCCATCCGTCACCGATGTGTTCTTTTTGGCGCTTCGAGCCAAGAGTGTTTAAGAAAGCGACGTCACATGCAGGTCCGGTATCAAATGTGGAGAGCTGCAAACAATTGCAAACACCGGCCCGGTTTTTTGACCTATCTTCTCAGCCATTGCCACTCTTAACACATGTTGCTCGTCACGACTCACGACGGTGTCACCCAACAAGCCGCTACCCATCCAGGTCGGACCGAAACTGCCACCGCGCTGGCGGTCGCCGCGGGGTTGGAGTCTGGTGTGTCCCACCTGGTCACCAAGCCGAAGCACCTGGTCCCAGCAAGCCGAAGCAAGCAACATCTTTGGGTTCACGTAGAGTTGACATCCCGAGGTGGCCACGGTCTCGAAAGCATGAACAGGTTGGTGGCTGCAAAGCCAAACCTGTATCACTGTGAGGGGAGAGCCAAACAGTGCTTGGTCCACATTTTCCGTCAGCAGAGTCGACCATGGACCGATTTAAAAGTCCTCGCTCCTACCAGCGCGCAGGCTTCAGCATGACAACTCTGCAAAATTGCGAAGAAGAACGACACAACTCGGCCTTTTCCGTTCAGTCATCCAACGGTCCACAAAACCAGTGGAACACCACATCTGTTGGAGCTGAATCGGTTTTGCAGGTCCACCCCCCAACGGACCCCAGCTACGACCCCAAAACGGACCCCAAACGGACACCAAAAGGTCTGAAATGCGTCGACGACGTCTGAGTCATATGAGGTTGTGTTACACAACCCCGGTATACCCCACTCTTACATGGGGTTTGTTTGATACTCTCTCACTATGAGCCCAAGCATATACGGGACACCAACTTGGGAACAATCAGGCAATCTTCAAAACATAACATAGAACATTGTCTTCATGAACCTCTTGACAAGTCGTCAATCAGTAGTCGTCATCTGACCCCGCTTGCAAGTCACGCTGCTTCTGGGAGACCTGAACAGGACGTAGCGGTTTCGCAGTACGAAAACAACTCAGTCCAAAAGCAGTCTAAGGTTTCTAGCTTCGTAGGTGTACTCACATGTACTCACCAATCTCTCTCTCTCTCTCTTCTAGCCATTGCGTTGAGGCGTTCTCATTTGTGTGTGTCGTACAGCAAAACCACTGCCACTGCCATGGGCCCAGCGACATCCAGGTCTCGCATTGGATGTCTCATGGCATTGTTCTCTCCCCGTGGGGTTACATTAGAACGCCTTGCAATGTCCCCAAGGCAAAGACCAATGTCCCCAACGATCTAAAAGATTGACCGAACGTCTGAGTGACCCCTTTTGGTCCAGAACGTCTGAGAAATGTGTCCTCTCATCTTTACAACAGTATTGGTCGATCGGGTTTCCCCGCCTGCGGCACAAAATTGCTGAGCGCGAACTGATCAAAGCACCACATGGTGAGGCAATACATTCTCTCCTGAAGTGGATGTGGCTCAAAAAAGGCTTGACCCAGAAACCCACTGGTACCTTTTAATAAATGTCTTAGCCTATGTTTCCTTTCACTAGAAGTTGCAGAGCCTGCTTCCTGGTGTCTTAGATTTGGCTAAAAGGGCAAAAGGTGGCACCCATGTTTTCTCTAGCAAAGAAGAAACAAACTTCTACCTGAGCGTGGGGCTTCATGTTGATCACCAGAACCTGCATAACCCCCATCCTCCACTTATGTAACATACCTTCTTAGGGACATTGACCAGTATTTGGATGTATTTCCCGTTCCAGTCCTCAGGAACATGTTCAGGTCAGGGATGTTTTTGGGGATCCCTGTGGATCCTAAATAAACGATCATAAACGATCATCACACGAGTGTGTATTATAATAGGGAGACACCCAACCAATCCAATGGGTTTCGGTTTCGATGTTCCGAACCTTCCACGGGGTCGGAACGCCGGGGAGGTCGAGACCTCTTAAAATGCACAGATCATCACCACATCCCAGCCTTGCCCATGGTCTCCACCACCTGAGTTGGCGTTCAACGACGTTCAAAGCTCATCTGAGCGAGGACACGGTCCGGGTCACCGGTCACAGCCGGGAAAACATCCGCAGCCGGTGACGTGGATATGGTGTGTTTTTGTGTGTTCTTTTAAGGGACTTATAAGTTCTCCACTTCCATGATGATTTCAGGGAGTGCATTGAATGTTGAGGATCATGCGGTAGACTTCTTCCTGCTCCATCCAAAAAAGAAGACGCGTGGGGTGGCAGCCGGCCGGGGCGTCCAACGACCATCAACTACCTCGACCTTCTGTGCGGACGTGGGACACCAACTTTGACTGATGACGAGGTCCAGTGAAATCATCGGAGAAACTACACTCCCGAAAACAAACATAGACCCGGGGTCCAATGGCCCCCCCTGGAAGCGTGGTTTTCCCTCTACCAACCAGTGGTTTTCAGGGTCCATGGGATCGTCTTCCAGATCGCCCGCTGCGGGCGCCCCACGCCACGTGCGAACGCTGCTGAGTCGTCCGTCGGGTGTGATTGCGGTGAAGAGGTCACTGTCTTCACTCAAACGCCGCGTGGAAGAGCTCACACGGCCGAAGAGCGAACACGTTCTTCGAAACCAAAAAGACCGGTTTCACCACTCAGTTTGATTGGAGAACGTCAGCTTGGCTTCTACTCAGGTTTGCAGGTCGGTGAGTTGGCCCCGAGACCGGAACGACGGAATCCCACCACCAAGTCTGACCATACAGGGTCATCGGGCTCCACTTATATTATAGGTCGAATTTCGTGGGGTGTCCTCAATCCCCAATCCCCCCAAAAAAAGGTTCTAAAGGTGTTTAACAGGATCTCCACCTTTCCTTGGATAGGCAATCCATCACCTTCAGCCCCTCAGCCCTAAAGTCCAAGCCAAGTGAAGGAGAAGACTCTCGCACCTGATGGGCCATCCGCTCCGACAAGAAGATCGCCAAGGTATCGGCCTCGATGTTTGACTGGAACTACTTGTTTCGCGGAGAAACAGGATGAGGATGTCGTGGGAGGAGGATTTCACTAGCTTAAACATGATCCAAATGAGTGTAGTACAGAACAGGGAGACCTTGTTCTAAAACCTGGAAGGAAGGAAAGAAGGAAGGAAGGAAGGAAGGATCACACCTGAAAAAAACGTTGAAGTCGTTCTTGGTTCAATTGCATTCCTGTCAGATCATGTCACCATGTTCAGTCTCACCTTCTGGGTGCCGTCCCCATCTCGGGGTACCGGTTCCGGGCTCGGACTCACCGGTGCCCGGGACAACGGACCGGAGTCTCCGGGCTTAGATCGAGATATATTATATCTGTATATCCGTGCTCGTTGCTGTTCTTGTTCTTGTTCTTGTTCTTGTTGTTGTTCTTCTTGTTGTTGTTCTTCTTGTTGTTGTTATTGTTGTTGTTAACGGTTCCATCCAGGACGAGTGGATGTTCGCAAGGGCACCCAGGGCACCCTTGACCCGGCCGGCACTCCGCACATGGAACTGCTGGTGTTCTTCATTTGAGGGATGACACTCCACAGTTGGTGTAAGAAGCTGGGCTGATCAAATACATCCATGTCTTATACCAGTGAGAATCAGGACACCACCAGTATTTTGATGTAGGCAAGCCCCACACTGTGCAGAACGAACCATGTAGGAACATCAGGTTGGAATGTCGAAAGGAAAGCCATATCTTGGTGTTGTTATATATGTATATAAGATTATAATAAGTACTTCTTGGGAGTGGCCGCAGTCTCTGCCCAAAGCCGCTCTGAGCTCCCTCGCGTGCGGGGCGATCCGAAACTTGGGAGCCTTCCTATCCGCGGCGACCGCAGTCCGCGTCCAAAGGTTCGTGGGGTTGAGGGCGCCCGTTACGGAGGGAAGGACCGTGTGTCTTCAAGGGTCAGCTTTAGAAAGGGAGGCCAGCGTGGCAAAATTCCAAGAAACTCATCCTATACGCTGATCCATTACAAACAGCATCATCACAACTATAATACCAAAGAATACAATGAAGCCCAAACTCTGTTCCCTCTCAAAATGTTAAAAGCTTGACATGGCATGACCAAACACCCACAGACTCAGTATACAGGGTATAGGGAAAAGGCCTGCCAACAACTCCCTTCTTAGTGTTGCATGATGTTGCACGCGCTTCTTTCCAAGCCAGAAAACAACAAAATGAAACACTCTAGTTTCACCATGTTTCATCTTCCTCCTCAAAGGTATGTAACCGATTGAACACATCAAAACGATTCCAAACGTCTAAAATTGAAAGGATCCTGGTTAACACTCCTCTTCTTCCCCATCCTTCTGACTCTGTGGGTCATCTTCCGACTCCATCCTTCCGACTCCGTCGCCTGGCCGTGGAGGCCGAGGGCGGGGCATCCCGCGGATCCGTGAGAAAGACCTCGGTGCCGGACTGAGCCGACCAAGCAGCGGCTTCGGGGTGCAAGGAGGCGCAAATGCAGCTGGCGGAGCTGCCTGGGTGATGGTTTTACCAGATGGTTGAGCCTCAGGGCGACCATCCTATATATACCACATCCCAGGGTCCGAACGTTCTGGAATCTCTCAACCTCGGAATCTTCTTCGGATCCCGCACCGAGACCTCGGTGACCGAGACCGGTGACCTCCTCCGATCGACGGTCTGAGATTGAGACATCGAGCCCACCGCCATTGTATCCGCTGTCCGGATCCCAGTGTGGGTTGATGTAGTACACCAGCCTGCGCGCGAAACTGCACCGACATCTTGGGACAAGCAGCAAACAAGCAACAGCGGTCTTTCATAGAACCATATTATAGAACCCACGAGCTGAAGGTGGCTAGAAATCAGCCTTGACACCTGACCCAAGCGAACACGTTGGCCGGTTGAAAGTGTGAACCCCGCAATGATGGCATCAAACGGTGACCAAATTAATTGGTGCCTGTGCATTGCAATGTACAACTTAGAACACCACAAGCCAACAAAAAACATCGGTTACCAAAGCGTTCGGTTTTTCTGGTGTAACAAGTCTAAGTATTCGGAATGGCAGCAATCATTGTTCCATCCGTTCCTTGGCTCTCAGGTCAACTGATGTGGGCCGAAACTGTGTTCAAGTTTTTATTTTTTTAAATGTGTTCACATGTCCTGTCCACCTTCATTCAATCTGCTTCGCTGTAACATGTTGAATAGGGAACCACGGCATAGCACTGTGGCCAAAGGGAGTCCAGCCACAGGTCTTAGTATGAAATACTAAGAAGCGACAAACTTGTCCAAAGGAGCCAAGAAGGGATGAAGTCAAGGTTGGATTGTCAATGGTCTGTCTTTGCCGCAATTCCAGTTATGTTTTTCATTGCTCAATGTTTGATGCCAAATGATGATTGTCTTGTTTTCTTTAATGCGGCCCTTGCTCATTTCCACCCTACTACAGCAGGCCTGAATCTTGTATTTTGATGCATAGTTTGACACATAATGAATATCATTATTTTGACATGGAAACATTCATTTTTTTTACACCAGTACATCAAAGGTGTTTTGAACACTTTTTGGCTTGCATCGCTGCATCCCATGATTCATGTCGAAACCCATTCGAACCATCAGATTCGGACTCTTAATCTTTTCTAAGTCCCAACTACCCCTCAACAAAAACGGTGCCTCTCTTCCGCATCTCCCTCCTCTTCATCCCCATCTTCATCCCCTCGCTTCACCCCATGTGCTGGGGGCGGCACGTCACACGGAGGCCATTGTCCGGCAGTTCCATGGCACCGCCACACTTGTGAGGATTGTCCTTGGCGCCCGACGGAGGAGGGGCGACTCTTCGGTGACAAGGGCCGTCCTGGAACCCAAGGAGCTTCTCGGTTGGGCCGCTTGCAGTTGGGCCGAATCGGTCGAAGTCGGGTGGTTGGAGTGGCACTCCCTCGCAAGTACTCGAAACACATATGATATATACAGAGTTGCCCAGTCCGGGAATGAGAAACCAGCAGACTAGCTGGTTGAGCAGGGAAAACCACCGAACCTGTTCCAAAGGGGAATCGATTTCGCCACGTTTGCGAGGGAACCCCGACTGGTCGAAGGACTGCTTCCGCCTTTGGAGCATAAGGACTGATAGTCTCCAGGGGCATATGCCCGAAAGATGAACCCCCTTGGTCGTCGAAGGTTTTGAACTATAACACCAAGTACTAAGTACCGCTGCCTTTTGGATGAGCCCAACTTGATGATGAAATAGGTTCGTCTTGCATTTCTGCATCACAAATTCAACCAACAATTGCATCCGCCTGATAAGTCAAAACACCAGCAGCAGGTGTTTGGATTTCCGTCACAGTCGCGTCTGCCCCCCCCCCCTATTCACCTTGCTCGCAAAAACTAATTTCAGCCTAGCCATCGGCTGGTTTGCGTAATCAAGTGGTTTCTTCTCGGTTTAGAAGCTGCACTGCATTGGTTGTGAAGACCCAACATATGACCGACCACTATATAGTTGTAAGACCACTATAGTTGTAAAAAACACTCTATTGAGTCCACCACTCTCATGTTCGTTGCATCTAGAATGCAGCTGGGTCTTGACCAGCACATCTTGCTGAATCTATCTGAATCCAACCAAAACTTTCCGAAAACTACGGCCATCGCAGCTTCGGACCCAAAGGGGTATGGCCGGTATGGCCAGGTTCAAGTACCCTCCGGTAAACCGTCTCTAATCAAGTTGACCAACACAAACAACAAGGACAAACGACACGAAGCGACTGTGCATGCTACATCAAACGATTTCATGTTCTTCAACTCACATGTCACATGCACAACTACAACCAAACGTCTCCACACACCACAATCTGCACGTCCCGTGAGCCCCTGGCAATGTGAAGCGCATAGGAGCGACTCCCCGTGTAGCAGGACCTCAGTCTCGCAACCAGCTTGTCACGCTTGTTTCTATGCACCGTGCATACCAGCTCCGAACGTCTTTCCACTGTCACTCACTCGAGTCTCCAACCCACCGCCCACCCAGCAACGCACGTTCCGCACCTTTGTTCTGCCGCCGTCTTCCCGCGGACGCGCCGCTTCGGGGCGGAAGACGCGGCCTCAGCCGCCGCTGGCATCTCGTCGGCGGCGCTGCAAGCCTTCTTGAACTCACGGTCCCACCGCGCCTGAGATGGCCGTGATGCAGAGCGAAGCAAGAGACGGGTGGAGTTGAGCTGAAGTCTCACAAAGCGCAAAGCAGCCCATACCATGGAAGGATGCACCCTATGTGGCGTGGTCACTGTTTATTCCCCCAGCAGATCTCATTCTATTTACAGCATTCAAATCGAAATCTTCGAAGTGCATGTCGACTGCGGAGGCTCGCACGTCTCGAGCGGGTGCATTCTTCGACTGTGCTCTCGTTGTGGTGCCGTGCACATTTTCGGACTTGGTGGTGACTTTTCGTGGCAGGCGCAGGGGTAGCCTCTCTAGACCTTCTGTTTCTACACCTCTGGACCTTAGACCTCTAGACACACTGTTTGGGGTCTCTTGCGGAGATAGTATTATTGGAAAAGTCTGGGATCCACATCTCCCATGATCTCCCTGTTATATATACATGTATACCAGCTGGTACCCCTGAAGAGTGATAATTATCACTCCGTTGTGTAATTGTCAATCTTTTGGATAGTGGTGTGACAAAAAGCACTCCGGAGTGGAAAAAATCAGTCCAACCGCATTCAGATTGCGTTCGCAGTGCGTTCACTTTGCGTTCAATCAACGTTCGCTTTGCGTTCAAGATACGTTGCAGAGCAACAAAAACCATTCTGGAGCAACTATTCTCACTCCGGAGTGCTTTTTGTCACACCAGTGTCCAAAAGATTGATAATTACAAAACGGAGTGATAATTATCACTCTTCAGGGGTACCAGGTGGCTGTGGGTCAAAACCCAGAGCCCCAAATCCTGGTACAGTACAGTATAGGTTGGCCTGGCTGGAAATCTGTTCATTTGTGGTCAACCCGGGTCCCCGGTACCCACCGCTATGATGCCACGTAGGACCAATTCTCCCATGCCACCCCGTATTTTTATCCTTCCTCTACCCAACCATACGATCGGTCCGCTTGAACACGCGCACCTGGACGAATTGGAAGAGTGGCTTCACTTCATCAGCTCGGCCCGGGTTCCTCGTTCGCAGCCAAGCTCGAAAAAGGGCGGGTCCCATCCCGCAGTCGCATGCGGGTACACCGCTTCACTTGCATGAGCTGGTTTTACATGCTATTCAATAGAATCATAGATCCCTCCCAAAGGGAACAGTGTCTTCCCTTCAAAGCTTCAGTATCAGTTGTAATTCCTTATCTAGTACCCTTCTCTGGTCTGGTTCTTTCATCTACGGCATCCTACGGCCCAATTGAGGGTAACCAAACGACGGCCTCCAACGGTTCCGCGCACCGCACCGCACCGCGGAGAGTGGCACACCGCCCGTGCCAGTCCGGTACCCGTGCCAGGGCAAGGCATGTTGGTGTTCCGGAACATCCGGGCTGGGTGCGCAAGCCCGAGAAGAGGGCCAAGCAGTCCCCAATCAGAGGGGTTTTTTAAACGAACTGAGCCATGAACTCCTGAACGTGGCTTTTTCGGGGTGCGATCTAGAGTTCTGGACCGACCCAAAAGTCGTTTTTTTTCGTGATCTTTCATGGTTGTGATTCAATGTGGCTGTACGTACTTCCATTGCAGTCAAAAAACTCTAACTGAAGCCCAAAACCCAATCAAACTTGGAGTTCATGTTCCTGTGAGAGTGCATGAGGCAAATGCAATCTGCCTTCATTGTCTGCAGGATAGTGTATAGCACGTAGCTTGCCAAATAGGTCAGGTAGATGGGCAGGCACGGGCAGCAAGTAATAAATGCACTATTATAGGATCTATTGCTGTAAATATATTAGGTATACCCAGGACGGCCCAAAACTCGACCCATACAGTTATTTGTTCTTGTCTTTTTTGTCATCCTGTAGCGCTCTCTCTCTCTCTCTCTCTCCCCCATCCCAGGCCCTGGACCTCCTGTCCTGTCGGGATGGTAGCTCAACTGCCAGCCCCGCAGGAGCTTTCGTCGCTCGGCGGCATCGGCTTTGAGTAGCTGTCGTTCTAAGCGTTGAAGAACGTGCTGCGTCCAGCGCGCGGCCTCGTCCTGACGTAGCACTTGGTGGCTTGGGTGGGTTGGATGGGTTGGGTAAATGAACAACTGCACTGCGCTTTGAGCGGTCTGTCTTCAGTGTTTCAAACGTGCATGTTCCGACTTTTGATTTGGACTCCTGATTCTGTGCCCACTGAACCATGACCCTGATTGCTCGACTGACTCTGAAGGAGAGTTGAAGTGAAGGAACATATGTTTTTCTTGCGAAACAACAAAATATCTCGGAAACAGTCAATGCTACCTAAAGCTAAGGTTCTAACTATACTACATTAAATACTGGATGACTATTAATTCCAAACCAACAAAGCACATGTTAGCCTTCCCCTCGTCTGCCTCTGGCCCATCTGGCCCGCCGTCTGCAGCATCTTTGGCGTCCTATGCAAGTCGAACGGCTTTCTTGGTCCAACTGGTGCAGTCAGTCAGGGCACCAACTAACTTCAACTTACGCCAGCGATACGCTATGTCCATGGTCTTATCTGACCCACATGTGACGACCTTCCAGTGATTCGAGAGGCCAGTTAGCCCTTTTTGCAGCGTGTACAGGGAAAGAGTCGAGAGGCGACTCTCACACTTCTTTTGGGCGTACTCGGCGTACCCCGCAGGGAGGCGGGTCCCTCAACAGGTCTCTCGGAGAAAGTCGAGATCGGGTTCATTCTTGTCAGTGTCATTCAGTCGACCAGGCCATGAATATATGCTCAGGAAATACAATAAATATAGTATATATAGAGGTTAATAGAATATATGTAAAAAAAAATCTTGGACCATGACAGGGTGTCTCTCTGACATTCAAGTAGTGTTTTGTACTAGTACGTTTAATTTGTGAAGCAGGGGTCCTTGTTCTTGGACAAACCCGAGCAAAACTCACCGAACTAATTACTCAAAAGGTCATCCAACATTCCAATCAATCTCTGCGTAGCAACAACCTCATGGACCTAGCAATAAACCAATCAAACGGCCAGGCACAGCAAAAGCTCCGAGCCAGCCAGACCCAACAAACTCATGACGCAATCCTCCGAAGCTAAACTCCCGCTCCTCCACTTTGTCCTCCTTCTCCTCGTTCAGCTCCTCCTCCTCCTCCTCACCAGCCCAGGTAAAGTCATCCAGGAGGGGCTCCAAGGCCTCCAAGGCGTCCTTTTGCTCCTCACCGGGCTTCAGCTTCAGTCAAGTTTAGGTCCATGGAGACATTTGAAATACACGTGCTTTCCATCAAATCTGGTAGCGTAGCAAAAGAAATCCGTCCCCCCTGAACGAAAGTTCCCAAATAGGATGAGTGCCAAGGATTGCTGAAGAAACATCTCTGGTTTCTCAAGGATTTGCCGGCCGATTGGCAAAGTGTAAACCAAAGTGATGGCACAGTGGCACGGTGTAAACCAAAGGCGAATTGTAAAGAACAGCGTTTCGACCATTGGAACAGGTAGTCTCAGTAGTGCTTCCTGTCTGGCCACAGAAAAAAACTAAAAAAAACAAAAAACAAGAACTGGAGATCGTCAATTCTTTTTTTGGTGTGGCCACAACAGTATCGCTCAATGAGTCATGGGGTGACATATAAATATATAGTTGTTTTCTTTTTGTCAGCTTACAAATTCGTTCTCTTCCTCTCCAGGAACCTGGCAAGAGCCAATTGTGCCTTCGGGCTCGTGACCGGCAGCTTGCTGCAACTTCTTGGAGGCTTACTGAGAGTACGTAAGCGCTCACGACGTCTAAGGTTTGCCGCCGAGTACATGTCGTTGAACTGCTCAAACTGTCCAAAGAGCCATGAAGAACCTGCAGTTCACCATCTAATTAGAAGTCACTTCCCATCTGGGCGAGTGACTGGATTACCCGTTTGTCCGCTTTTCGGTGTTCCAATGAACAGTGCGTCGGTGAAGCTTCGCCAACGCTGGACGCCTGATACTAGCAAGAAGACTGAAGTAACCTCTCTTTCTCTGGAAATCTGGCAATGACTTGGTAAGACGAACATCCTGAATATCCTGAACCTATAGGATGTCTTTCTTTCCTCCTTGCAATGATTGGTCAAATGAACCCACCCAAATTCTCTTCAGACCCAGATCCGGTCTGCCAAATCTGAGCCTTGGCCGCTGAGCGGCTTCCCGCTCCTTCGGCAACGCGCCTCGCTGGTACGCCTTTTGTGCTGTCCTCAGAGTCCCCCCACACCCCGACCCATGGCCCCAGGGGCCCCAGAGGGCCCGGCCCCTGAAACAGGAGAATGCCAAGGAGAGGTGTGTAGGTCATGCACTGAACATGCAAAGGTAGAATCATAGACATCCCCCGGACATCCCCCAAAGACTATAGGTATTATGGAGATGGTGCATGGAGAAGGTGCCTTTGACGACGCCGTTGACCCCCATGCTGATCTAGATCAGTGGAGCTCCAAAGGAATCTGGCCTTTGGTTCTGCTCCTTTTTTGGCGCCCGGTGTCTCGCTCGACTGGAGTCTTATCTTCTCAAGTCCAAACACTCCCCGGGCGGAAAACCCTAGGGCCCGTCAGCACGATGCAAGGGAGATCCAGTTCCAGTAAGGAATTTGAGAAATTCGGCTAGCTTCACAACACCATATCTGACCCACTCAGGTTCCGTGGAACATAGGGTTTGATAGTGTGTTGTATGCTTTTATATCTTGTTCCACCTGTTCTAATTATAGTGGGCAAGTGATGTTCAAAGGTCATTAAGGGTCATCCACTGACTGGGTGAGTTGTTGACCATCTCATCTAATCCACCTACTCCCCTGAAATGCAACTTCAGCCAAGCCGCAATCAAACACGTCCACCCAATGTTGTATGTGGCGTGTTGTGCGTGTCCAGTACCCTTTACCAAGCAAGCATAGAACTGCCTTGCTAGGGATCTGGAGCATGAAACTACCAGAGTTTCCAAGGGTGTTCTACAGCTTGAAATCTTTTACGAACAAAATCCACCGGCAAAGCCCAAACTATGTGAAACAAAAACCTTAAGCATCCTTAAGCAAACTGATGCCACACGTATTGCTGGTCGCCTGGTCGTCCCCGAGCGGTTCCGCTGCTCTTCGACTCTTCGACCGAAGCCAAGGAACATGACCCAAAGGGCCAAGTCCTTTTCCCCTTCCTTTCCGCCCTTCTTGTAGGGCAAATCTGGAGCGGAGAGCAGAAGAACGTGGGCCCCGATGAGCGACCGGTGAGTGACCATGTTGCTTGTAGCAAGGATGCTATTTCCTAGCTCCTGGCATTACTACTATATACATGCAGTAAGTAACAAGAGGACGCTACTAGGAACAAAGGGCATCGTGACACGAAAGTAGCAAGGACTGTTGATCCGTTGAACACACGTGGCTCGTTGCAGGTGGCGCGGTGCAGCTCCCGGTTTCACCTTCAGGTGCTTGCATCCTAGGTGGAGAGATATCACGATGCACCATTATGGACCATCATGGACTGAAAACCAACACCAGATCGATCAGAAGCTGGACAACCCAGATCGATCCAGATCGGCTGTTCCAGATCTGAGCATCGATTTGGTGGATTTGTTGGATGTGTTTGGCATCCAAACCAGCCCAGCCACAGCCTGAGACATCCCCACTCCACGGCTGAATCTTCGCCCGGGCAACAACCCTCAGTCTCCACAAAGCTTCTCAAACTTTTGATCATCTTGTCGAAGCCTCCAGAAAACAGGAAAGCAAGGAACATCAAGCCTGATGAAGGCTCGATCACAGCTCAGCTAACGCAATTCACAATCTGATAGAGTCTAGCTCTAGGATATTCCATCGCAATGACCATTTATCTGCTATGCACCCACATTTTTGTAGCATCTTCGCCATATGAGCATCTGCCAAAACGTACTGTCAAGCAAAGGACATGCTTCAAAAAGGTTGTCGCCTTGAGGGGTGCCTATCGCCTTTGCTGGTTTTCGCCACAATGACAATAACAACGCTGAACATATCAAAAATGGTGGGATATGGTTATCGCTTTAGAGGGTGGCCTATCGTTTTTGCAGGTTTTGGCACATTCCTGAAATTCACGACCGCTCTTTACTGAAAAGTCGTCATTGCACGTGGTCGGTGGTTGCTCATATCATATATTACAGCTGTTACTCGTGAATCGGTTTCTCGGCTGCACCTTTCAAAGGCTTTTCAGCAACCTTGCGCTTTTTCACTGGAGCAGGTAGCCTCATACAAAAAAAGCAGGAGCAAAGGAGGAACGTTGGCCAGGACGTCTGACACACACAGCGCGAGGAACGTAGGAACGTGTTTTCCTCATAGGGACAAGTCCATGTCCCTCTGTTCCCGGACTTTGAGGAGTCGCCCTACTTCATGATCCGATCAGTTCCCAAAGAGTGAAGCTGAGTGTTGGGCTTGGCTTGCGTTGTATACAGCAGCTTGCTTGGAATAAATGTGGTTGGCCACCCTTTTGACGTCCATCTTCAATCCAAGCATTGGTTGTGTCTGCACTACATCCCTCCCGGCAGGTTGTCCAATTACAAAAATATCAATAGGACCTGCTGTATGAACAGGCATCAAATTGCAGCATACTCTTCTTCAAATCTTTTTGGCACTGGCAGTGCCAAAGAAGGACTTGAGGGAGGCGGAGGACTCGCAGTAAGAGAGATTGGCAACAAAAACAACAAACAAGGCCAAAAGCAACAACATGGCGTCATCCAAGTGTCAGAGACACCAAAACCACTAGATTAGATTTATACAGTAAAGTCAATTGGTAGATTTTCTCCTTCGCCATTGTTTGATGAAGTTTGATGTGATGCCTTCCAGCTTTTTAAGAACAAAACCATCGACACGCAGTCCAACAAAACCATCGACGTTCAGCCTGGAGCTACTCAGAACGCCGGACCAGGACCGCAACTAGTGCATACTTTTCTGCGGAAACACCCGATAGCCGATGGGGCGGCGCCATTGACATTAATGACTGGTACCCCCTGACTGCGAATCCATTAATATGAGAGCCAAACCATGCCAAACTGTTTCTTCTTAAAGGGTTGGGAATTGCAAAGGTTTGGAAGATATTGACTGGCATTTATTGTTTATGTCAAATGACAAATGTGGAAGAGTTCCCTCTAACTTCACTCCCCCCGTAAAATTAGATATAGATCCAAAAAGCTCCTCCAAAAGCCCCTTGGAAAGACCATAGATCCGTAGGATCCTCCAAGACACTCCGGCAAACCGGACGCTCTCCGCGTGGAGCTCCGGCGCCGCACCAGGTCCTCCGCCGACAGCGCTTCGGTCTGCCACTCCGCATAGAGTGAGGAGGAGTGCGCCGCCTGACGTGGGACACGCACGACCGGTATGAATTCCGTTGGGTTGTGTCTTTCAACATATTTGATAACACATGAATATAAGGAGTGAATATCTTATAAAGCCGAAGCGTGCAGCGAAACGAAGCGACGCTCAAAACAAACGCACCATTTCCACAGCGAAAGGGGGCGAAGTACAAAGCTGGTTCAAGGGCCCTTGGGCCATGAAGCAACAGGGGAAATGCCAATGTGTCATGAAATGGCTTGCATGGAACTCTCACTGGTATGTTTTCTTTTGGCATTTCCGTCTCCCAAGCCGATTTCTGCGGCGTATGCTCTGGCCTCTGGCGAATCCATGAGGACTGCACGAGGCTTTTGAAGCCAGGCTCTAAACACCTGTCGAAGCATGCGATCCACCTTAGTCAAACAGTCGCTGAACTGATACTCAGTAGGAATCCACTTCAATTCCTTTCCGGTGATGGTCTCTTGAATCGCACGGATCGACACCAGGGTTCTCTTATCCTGGAGGCTCGGGGCCGCGGACAGTACCGCGTCGAACAAAGACTTGGCATCAACGGCCTGCAAGGCCGCCAAACGGCATCCAGCGCGATGCGCCGGGGTGAGATGTACAAACTCACTAGCAAACATGTTCGCAAATGCTGCCCGGTCTGCAGCGTCATCAGCAGCGGTCGCCTCTGCGGCGAGTGTAGACCTGCACACTCTTGGCGATCTAGTCGAGCGCCAGTCCAGCAAAGTCACAGCCGTCGGGGTGGAAGCTGCTTGCGCTGTTGTCAAGGTGACAAGAACGCCTATCTGTGAACCTGACTTGCGAGCGTTTGCAAAGCTTGCGTCTGAGTAGGCTAGGATCACGCTGTCCTGGCCAAAAGGCAGATCCTCAAAAATGATGCCGTCCTCACTTGTGGCCTGGAGGTAGGAGATGGCTTCAAACAAGTTCTTAAGGTCCTCCAGCTTGGCTTCACTTCCATGGGGTGTCAAACTCACCAGGGAAGCCACGTCAGGTCGGCACTGAGTTGCTGCCCATTGAAGGCATCCGCAAATGCTCCTAAGCTCCTTCTGCTCGGAAGTGGTAAGGCTGTCGCCCTGCTGTCCACGTCCACGTGGAAGGAAACCAGGGGTCAAACCCTTGAGGAACTTGTTCATGGTCACGGCGATGTAGTATCTTCCTGAGGGCTTTTGCTTCACCGTGACCTCTTTTCCTTTGAAGGTCTGAGGAACATCTTTTTCCAGGTGGGCAATGGATCCCCAACGGAACTGTTGGTGGACTTCATCAAGGTTGTAGTTCTGGTTGTAGATGCCCAAAAAGTCATCCACGTAAACCAGGATGATTGAACAGATCTCGCTGGAAGCTTCGTTGACCTTGTAGAAGACACAGTGGTCGAAGCTGTGTTTCTGGTAGTTGAGGTCGAGGAGGCGCTTGCTGACTTCTTTGTACCACGTGAGTGGTGCATCGCAAAGACCATATATGTTTCCTCGAACTCGGTAGAGCTTGGATTTCCAGTGGTTGGTCATGTTGATCAGGCCATCAACTGGTGGCTTCATGAAGATTGGGAGTTTCCTCTCAGAGGCGTCTTGTACGCCTTGAAGAAATGCTGTTGCGGCGTCAGCCACCCAACCAAACCAACGGAGGCCACTGCCGAAAAGCTCTCCATTCATTCCTGCAACCAACATTGCCAGGATCATGTGTTCTCCCAAGCGTCCTGGTGTGGCAGCGCTTCTGCTGACTGATCCAAGATCAGGATCAAGGTGTCCAAGGGCCACAATGCGGCATTTTGCACGCAGTTCGCCAACTCCGCATGACTTGTCACGGTAGCAGGCTCTGGAAGGAATGATGCGCTTGGACAGGATTGGGCTGTTGAGCACTTCCTGTGCTTCAGTGTCGTTGAGGGGTTCGACACTCTGCCATTCTGACCAAGAGGAGGTCTCTTTATCGATGGAGCCAAGAAACTTCTCGATGTACTGCTGTGGCATCTGGAGAATGACTCGCCAAGGGATCTCTCTGTCCACTGCCTTGAGCTCCTGTCGTGTTAGGCCTTGCTTGTACAGAGGTGCTGCTTTTGCCTGTGGTTGCTGTTGCGGATTGTTGTCTGCCTGTTTTGTCTCTATGTCTGTGTCTGAGTCATCTGATGTGTCTGACTCATATGCCGATTTGCCAAGTGCTGCAACGTCGAGTTGTCGTTGCTCTGTGGTGAGGTACACATTGTAGTAGCTGTTGTTTGCTGGGCCAAAGGTGTGCCATGCTTCTGGGTCCTGTACTTGGTGCAAGTGGTGAATGTGACCAAGCTGGTCTGTGTACATCATCACGAGTGCATCGTATGGCCTCTTCAGTGGTAGAGATGGCAGTGCTTCTGTGCTCATGTTCTCTGGTTGTGATTCATGAGGTACTGCCGGCGCTGATGCTGTCGAGGCTTGTGGTTCTTGCTCTGGCTGCAGCTGTTGTGTTGTTGGATCGGGTTGTGATGCATCATGAGTACTGTGTTCTTGCCTGTCCATATGCTCAGCCGGTTGTGCTGATGCTTGTTCTGCTGCTGCCGCTGTTTGTGAGGGAGATGCCAAAATGGTGCTCCCTTGAGCTGGTAGTGATTGAAGTGAAACATGGGGTGAAATCGCTGTGGAACTAGCTTGTTGTGGAACTTGTTGTTCCAATGGCAAGGTTGGACCATGTTGGTCATCAGTGCTGGCAATTTTAGCCGGTTGCGCACGTGATCCTTTGGATGGTGTGCGAGAACGACCTCTCGTGGTTCGAGGTGTTCGTGGTGTTGGCAAGTCGCCAAATCGGTGAAAATGCTGCTGCAGTGTTTGATTTGTCACGTGTGTTGGGCTGTCAATGTTGATGTTGACTGCCTGCTGTGCTACTGTTGTCGTGACTTCCTGCTGCTGCTGAACCGTCGGTTGTTGTGGAGCAGGTGTGGCAGGTGCTGCAGCTGTTGGTGTTTCGGGTACTGCCAATGAGGGTGTGTAGATGGGATCAAATTCGTCGGCTGGTAGGATCTCTCGGTCCTCTGGTTGCCGATCTTGGAGTTCGTCTGGCTGTGGGCCTCTTTCATCCACAAGTTGTTCGTGGATGGTGCGACTGGCGTCGCGCAGGCTCTTGATGTCAGCCTTGTCTGGTGTCCATTGTTCGAAGCCGACTGCGGCACGTAGTTGCTCCGCAGTGACAAGTGTTGTGCCACCTTGAGCTCTGACCCATGCTTGCTTTCCAACATGTGAAGGGTCCCAACTCAGGAACCTTGCAGTGATCCAAGAGCCGCGTTTCTTTGGTCCGCGTCTCTGCCACCGCCAAAAAGCACAGCGCTGGCCTGGTTGAAGGTCAGCCACCTTGGTGACTCTGGTTCGCCGAAGTAGTGCACGGCGAAGGTGCTGGTTGACATCCAAGTCATGGAGAGTCTTCATGGCTTCTGCTCGAATCACCTCTGCCTTGAAGGCTGGGTCGTAGTGCTCGAGGTGTGCCACCGGTGTGGAAGTAGCAAAAACCATTGGGTCGCTGAAGGTAGAGTCTGGGAGTCGTGGCACTCTTCCAAACACGGCTTGGTAGGCACTACGGCCGTGAGTGTATATGCCACTGTTGAGGGCATGACAAGCTGCCGTGAGGAGAGTGTGGCATTGAGTGATATCATGAGCAGCGAATTGGTCGATCAACTTTTCCAGAATGGCGCGGAGAAGGGCATTGCGCCTTTCCACTGAGCCAATGATGTGGTGTGCTTCTGGTGGGCAGTGGTCTACGATAATACCAAGTGCCTCAAGTCGAGTCTGGAACGACCCTCTGAAGGAGAGATCTGGATCGCATACCACCTTGAGTGGTAGTCCATATGGTCGCAACCACATCTGCTCAAAGATCTGGAAGTAGGTGTCAGAGTTGCGATCCGGGACAATTGAAGCTTGGTGGAAACCAGTTGCCCTGTCCACTGCTCCAAGAACTCCGAATGTCGTGGAGTTCAGTGTTCGACAGTATACCACGTCCATTTGGATCTCGTCAGAGAACTGGCCTGCGAAAGGCTTGGGCATGGTGGATGGACGTGCTGGTTGAGGTAACTGAAGTCGTTGGCAGGTGGCGCACACAAGTTTGCGCGCACACTCGTAGACCTTGTCTGGAACGTTGCCCTGATAGGCCAGAAGTCGACACAGTTCCTCTTTGGAGGGATGTCCCATGTTGCAATGGATGCGAGCAATGCTTGTCTTGATCTCCTGAGGTGTGTCGGAAGACACGCCAGGAAATGAGATGTCTGTCGAAAGTCCTGGGATCACTGCCGGCGTCAAGGGTGATCCTGGGGGTTGTTCTGGTTCTGGTCGTCGGTAGCCAAAGACAAAGATGGCTAGCCGCACTGGTGTCGCGAACCGCTGTCTTGGGAATTGCATTTGGTCCAATTGCTCAATCTCTATGGAACGGGTATTGTCGTTGTAGAGCAGGAAAGAAGCCCTAGTGTTGTAGTCGAGGAATTGCAAAGGCAATCTCCTGGTGGTCGGATTGGCCACCACTTGGATTCGCGTTGCGTCAACGCGAAGTAGATCTTGAATCTTCTTGCCCTGCTCGGTGTCAGGCACGATGTAGTAGGGCCTCTTGGAGGTGTGCTCGTATGCCTGGTTCAGCTGGTCGACAATTGGGTCCCACTGAGAGAGATCGGTAGTAGGATGTTGAACTGCCATCACCTCAAAGCCAGAAGTCGCCTGAGTGCAGAAACGTTGAGGTTGCTGCTGGTGAACATACTGACGTAGTTCATGAAGGATGGTCCGACACAGGGCCTCAGGGTACTCCTGAGACTGTCGGGTATGCTTACCTTCAACAGGTATGCAAAGGGCTTTGAGATGAGGAGGTAATCGTCGATGAAGAACTACATCCATTCCAGGCATGTTGCCAACAAACATGAAGGGCTTGATGATGGGGTTACCGTCGGCGTTCACTGCGCCATATGCTCCAGCATCAAGGACGATGTGCCATACTCCTGGAAGAGTCATCAGCCTTTTCACACGAGCTTTGCTCCATAGTTCTGAGCGCTGAGGATTCTCTAGCAGGAAAAAACGGCCTGTTCGATGTTGTTCTTCTGCGATGTCACAGGCTGCATCGAGTAGTGGCTTCTGTTTTCGTTGAAGGCACTCCCACTCTTTTGGCCTGTGGCTGAAGTTCAAGTTCTTGTTGAACAGGTTGTAGTAGACGCAGTCCAAACCCATCAAAGTGAGGTAGGGCTTGAACTTCTTGAGAACTTTCATTGACTCTTCTCGGGTCTGCTGGTCCTTAAGGTCTTGACCATAGATCACGTCCCAGGGCTGAAGGGCGTTGAGGTTGTATTGTGGTGCAAGGACGGTGCACAAGGCGCGACCAGCAAAAAGCTCCCAAAGATCGACAGTCTGTGGAGTCCGCGAAGATACTGAGGTGCCGATCTTGTAGATGTCATACTCGTTCTCCAAAAGCTGCGCTGACTTGTTCCACTGACCACGCAGCTGCTTCACTGCGCCTTTCTTCACATGGGGCTGGCCTCCTCCAGTGACCAGTCGATGAGCTGCTCGTCCGGATCCATGGGAAGGCATCCCAACTCGCAAAGTCTCTCCAGTCTCCTGCGGTTTGACATGCGCGACAGGTTGTTGCGAGCTTCCTCGAAGATCTGCTCGTTGAGGAATGCGTGCTGCTCCCAACTTGTAGCCGAGGCGCTCAGAGGACATTCCATCTCGCATATCTGAAAGACCTCGTGGGCCTGCTGTTCCGTGAGGTGGTCCAGAATAAGGTTGTGCATCTGGAAGTCCGTCCAAATAGGAGTGGTGTCCTCCTCTTCCACTATCTCCGGTTGAGGAGGTTCCATAGCGATCGGTGGTGCCACGTAGCCCTGGCCAACTGGGCGTGTGGTCACTCGAGCTCTCGAAGAAGAAGTCGTCGAAGGTTGAGCCTTGGGCTTCGCCCTGGTCAGCGCGATTGTTGCCGAGGATGGTGGAGGCAATGGTTGCAATCGCGATGAGGGCTCTTTGGGCCCACGATGGGGTACCCACTTTTCTCCGCTCGGATCCCACTTGAAGGTGATGTTGCATTCGAGGCACTTGCTGTAACGGCCGTGAGCGTTGCCGTACCTCTTCACCTTCTCGTGTGAGCAGCTCTGGTAATCCTTGAGGGTCTTGACAATCGGTGGCAGCGAAGTCAGAGCTTCCGGCGGGAGAACTCCAACAGTTACCGCTCTCACCATCTGCCTGATGACGTCGGCCATGAGGTTCATGAGGGTGTAGACCATTCGCTTCCACGACACAAGCCATTTGGGTGGTGCCGTCCGCATGGTCTTGAGAAAGATTCGGGCTTGAGCTAGTCAAAAACTCTGGATGAGGTTGCTGCCAAAAAGAATCATCAGCCAACTCACTCCAAACAGATAGGGTGTGCACATCTTTCTTGGACATGTCAAAATCTAACAAACTCACTGCCATGTGACCAGCGATTCGATGGATCGGCGCTCGAACTCCGAGGGTCTCGAAATCAACCCAGTTGTCCTGAAAGTTGATGGTGGCGCCCAACAAAGTCAACAACGAATTTGAACCAAGAAAGGGGATGTTCTCCTGAAGGATGGAGGCTCCAAGCAAACAAGGTACCCCGCCGAGACCCGAAGGGATGTATGCCCTGGTGGTAGCCGTAGAAGGGTTGCCCTTGCCGAATTGAAAAACATCTTTGGTGGACACCTCATAGGGAACCAACTTGTAGGAGCTGAGCTTGGCCACATGAGCATCATACCATGACCTTCCACAGCAAGTCCGCTGGCAACCGCTATCCAAAACAAGGTAACCTGCAAAGACATTGGGGCCATCTTTGGTAGTGATCTCATTGATCATAAACGGACTTGTTGAGGAGGGCGTCGAATCCATCGGTGGCGAAAGGTGCTGAACCATGCCAACCCTGTAGGAGGTTGAGCTATCTTGGAACTCGGTGCCATACTCATCGTGTTCAGCAACTTGCACCAACCCATGGTCGTGGTGAACGAAACGGACGAAGTGCTGGTTCTGCTGATTTTTCTCGAACCGTTGATTCGAGGGGGCAAAAGTCGTGCCCTTGGAACCAGCTTTGCCGGCACTGCCTTTGCCACCATTCTTGGGGCATATGGGATCTTTGTACCAATGGCCACGTTGGCCACATGCCGTGCAGTGTGTGGATCACTTTGCGTCCTCAACTGACTTCTCCTTGGGCTTGTTACCCACACTCGGCTTGGTCCATCCTCTTGCAAGGGTGAGGTTGCTCAACTTCTTGGCAGTGACGGTCAACACTTCTGCAAGTCCAGCCAGGTCTACGCTGTCTGGATCATCTTCATCATCCTGAGGGGAGTCATCGACCTCCGGCTCAGGGTCTTGGTCATTGGGCTCATTCTCATCATGTTCATGCTCCTCGATGGACTCAAGGAGGGGCTCAGCACCGTAGGTCTCGTCAGCCTCGGTGAAGAATGCTCGCTTTGGGCCACCATAGCCCTTTCCACTGCTTGAGCTTGCCGTCGAAGGGGTCAAGGACGAAGACGAGGAAGACGAGGTAGTCCGTGCACCGCCTTTCCGATGCTCTCGGCCGTCTCCCTTGCCACCCATGATGGGCGGTGCTGGGCGGAAGTCTGGGTATTGAAGGACCATTGCTTCCGCTATGGATTCAAATTTCAAGCTCTGTTGAGTTCCGACAAGTAGCATGCGCTGTTGTTCAGGAGTCAAACCACTTCTGTCCAAGAGGCGTGCGCCAAGTGACTCATTGTCATAGGTGCCGGAAATGTCGATGCCAACTGACTTGAGGTTCCGTTGTGATCTTCGGAACCTATTGATGTAAGCTCTCAAGTGCTCTCCATTGTACCTCTTCATATGCTCGAAGTCGTGGAGGTACTTGCGCTTCTGGAAGATAGCCCGCTGCTCCATGGGGGCTTTCAACATGTTGAGGATCACTTCAATGCCGTTGTCGGTGTACAGCTCTTCCAAGGTCAGGTGCTCGAGCTCCTGTTCTGCCTCTCCTGACAAGGCGTTGTAGAGGAGTAAGGCTTGGTCAGCCTTGGAAGCATATGGCTGCATCTGTAACTCCCAAATTCTCACCTTCTTGGTGTATTTGGTGTAGGCTCTCAGGTCGGTGGCGTCGTAGCGCCAACTCGGAGGAGTCGGTGCTTGGCCCGTCCGCCAGCGAAGTCCCTTGTCCGGACCCTTTCGAGGATCCCAGTCACTCATCTCATCACTCTTGTCCTTCACCAGCTTACGAAGTCCCCTCATCAGAGGGTCCCGAACGGTGCTCAAAGGACTCTGCTCCGGTAGGCCTTGTGAGCCGGAAGGTAGGTGAGGTAGAGGAGGGTCTCCTCGGTGGTCAACAGGTTGTGAGGCAACATTCACTGGGGCATCGGGGTCGATGACCGGGTTGAAGGTCCTGGTCTCTGACTCAGGGTGCCGTTCACCCAACTCAGATTGGCTGTCGCTCGGCGGGCCTGATCGGCGTTGTCGACGTCGCCTTTGGCGAGGAGTGCGATCAGCTTGGCCGCCATTGGGGACATAGAGCCAAGTCCCTTCGGGAGTCATCTGCCTTGTCGGTTGGTTCACCTGGTAGAAGTCGGTGGAGCCACATGTGGTGCAACACCAGCGGTCCTCAATCCAAGAGGCATCGAAGGAAGCGCATTTCAAGCAGCGCCAGCGAGCTCTATCCTGGATCGGCGCTTCTGGTGTTTCATCAACATCATCTCCGTAGGGAAGGTCCTGCCGGGAAGAAGGCGAGGTAGGTGGAAAGAATCCAGCTAGATCACCATAGTCGTCCCAGTCTGCCATCCAGAGCAACACCAGAAGCAAAGTCACAAGCTCCGGTGCCAACTTATAAAGCCGAAGCGTGCAGCGAAACGAAGCGACGCTCAAAACAAACGCACCATTTCCACAGCGAAAGGGGGCGAAGTACAAAGCTGGTTCAAGGGCCCTTGGGCCATGAAGCAACAGGGGAAATGCCAATGTGTCATGAAATGGCTTGCATGGAACTCTCAGAATATATAGGGAATAATCACTGTGATGTGAATAAGGTTCCACACATGAGTGAGATGTGCAAAAATGAATAAGGAAGCATTGCAGCTGAAAGGGATGGATGGGACCGATGGGACCTAGTGGTCGAATCAAAGAGAACGCCTGGGATTCTTTCTGGACTTTCTGGTCCCAGTTCATACATTGACAGGGTTGCAGCAAAAAGAAACGGCTGTCTGTTCGACCGTTCTCTTTGCCATCTTTGACAATCCCACCATCGAAGCTCTCATCCAAATTCCTTCATCCCAGTGTCTGGCATCCCCTCTGTGCATTCCTGGCATCCCCTCTGTCTTTTCGCCTGCTTGCAAGCTGTTTTATTGTTAAGTGTGACGCCACGCCGAGAAACGCTGTCTGTTCGACGCGTTCTGCACCTCTGCACCACTACGGTGGATACCCTGGATACCCTAAAGCGTCTCGGCTTTCATCGGTTTTTCTCGGTACAGTTCGGCGTGTGCATCGATGTAATCGGTGTTTTGACGCGGCTTTTGGTAGGGACACGCGTAAAGCAGGCGCGAAAAGCTCTGAAAACCATGAGTCTGAGCTGGTTTTGAATGTTTTTTCCTGAATATTCCATCATATTCCATGCATGGAGTGTCTGTGACATCTTGGTATGGTTGACTTCACCCAACCGGCTTGCGCGCGATCGACACGGCATCCACGGCATCTGCCAGCCTTCGTGGGTTTCTCTCCAAGCGGCACCAACGCCAGAGCATCGGAGCCCGAGATCTGGATCGGTTGCTCCTTGGTTGCGCCGAAAACCTCTCCCAGGGCCCCTTGGTTGCGCCGGTGTCCAAGAATAGCCCCTATTAGAGGTGTCCAGGGGTGTTGCCAGTCCCATTTGGAACGTCTAGCAACCACATGCTTTTCAAACATGGAGATATTTCATCCTTTAAAAAAACATGACCCGGTGCCAACGGAATCTCATTCCACTCATGCTAACGCCCAGAACATGTTGATATCGTCCCTGAACAAATATACAGGTCAAACCGGTCAGAGCCGTCCAAACAAGTTGAGGATCACCTTCCTTGGCAGTTCATTCTTCCTTCCTTCGTCGCTTGGGAGCTTTCCTTTTTGATCCAACCGCCGGCTGCGCTGTGCCGCGGTGCTGTTTGGCACAACAATACACCATGCCACAAAGTGATATCCACACTTCCCCAGCAAACTTCCAGCAACCAACCGGTGTTTTCTGTCCAAAGAACCTGGGTATGCGGAAGAAAAACCCGTGGAACAGAGGGCCGTTTGAAGCACTCAATCTTCAGTTTCCAAGGAGCAAACAGTATAAATATACAAGTATAGATGAACTGTTGCTGGGTCATCTGGGAAACCACCACAGCGATTGCCCGCAAGTAGAACTCATTTGAGCTACATGCAAACTTGGGAGAATTGCTGCCGACAAAATCTTAAGGCTAAAAGACTTGACTTGGTAAAAACATGTAGAACTGATCATTATCACCACTGGCGGAATGCGATAAGTTCCAAGTGCAGATGGGCTCAGATGACTCCTTTCTTGGATTGCCCCACCTGAAACCATGGCCCAAGGCGCTCCCTCCTTCAGCTTTCGCCCTTGCCTCCGCCAGCCGGCCACGCTCCGCAGCGGAACGATGTCCTTGTGGAAATACCTTTGGCGTTCGCCGTTGACGTCCTCTGATGCCCATGCGCGTAACCTCCAATGACGGCCCCACTAAGGCGCTGATGATTCGTTTCCTACACATAGCACATTGCAAATATGATAACACATGTTATGTTCATTTCGCAAAACGGATAGTTTACCCGATCCTGACCTCAAAACCTGGGGGAGCCCTGCTCCCTGTCCTATTTTGGTAACGCTCTTCTTCTGTGTTTCTTCCTTCGTCGCAAGTTTCCGGAAAGAAACCCCGTTGAACACCGAACACGCCACCCAAAATACGGTCCAACATCTGACAAATCAATGCGGTCGTCAGCCCACGAACCCCGCCGAATCCACCTGCCCAGGTGCACCAGCTGCCCTTCCACGGTCTGCACCGCATGACTTCCGGGCCGCAGCGTTTCCGTCTTCGCGGGGCCGAGGCGATAGACCTGGGGATGGATGGATCCCGGTCGCTTTGAAGCGAAATGGATGGTGCCCGGTGTCCTGAAAAGCACTGGACCCTCAAACAACCGTCAAATTGAATCAAATCGATTGATTGGATCCAAAGTTTTGGACCCTCCAAGAACTGGTCAGAGTCTTGAACAGGTCAGTCTTTTGTGCACTGAGTTGAATGCATGGTAGTGTTGAGCATCTCTGAGCCATGGACAATCGGATTAATACCAGCTATCTAACAACTGACTTCAAGGCTTCAGGTGCCGCTCCTTCTTCATGAAAACCGGTTTTTGCCTTCATGACTCATCTAGTGTCTGAGCCCTTACTTCCACTGAGCCACCCTAACAATGCAAATAAAGGTTGGGGGGTTCTTCCAAGAAAGCCTTCATCGCAAGCAACTGTAAACAAGTGTTCACCGCATGTCAAGAGTGAGTCCTCCTGCGTGGCGTTCAAACATATCATAGATTATCATAGGTATTTGCCTATGTATGTATGATAAATGCAAAGGAGATGTGATGACAAGATAGTTTTGACAGTATGCAGTATGGGTGTCAAAAGTCTCATTATTGCTGCAAAGGTCCCAACATCCCAACACCATCACAAACCGATGGACATTTCAGCAAATGTGAGGTTTACAGTACTAGTATACATGAACATCTGCAAACAAGGCATTGGAGAGGCTCTTGACTTGATGTCTTTCTTCCCAGCTACCAAGCAGTACCATGCAGTACCAAGGTGCCGGATGATTCTTGAAGGCTTTCAAACTCGTGGGCACGCCGCCCATCTGTCGCCGTTTGGCCAGGAAGGCCTGACCGAACCCGAGTGAGTCAGGCCGATTCATCACCTCTGGGGAGACCCTTCCAACTCGAACAACTGGTGGTCTTCACAGTAAACTCAGTAAACCAACCATTTGTAGTGGAATGTAGTGGATGAGATGTCAGACCCACCATGATTGACCCACCAAGTCATCGTCACAGGCTTGTTGTCGTTCCCCATGTTGTTGTTCGTCACAGGCTTCGCTCGGCTGGGCCCCGGAGTTGGCATTTCCTGGTGCACCATGTGGCACGATGTGGCACCATGTGGCACCTCCTATCCTCGAATAACCCCGGCCCTACATGGAGCTCCTGGTTTGAAACGTGTTTTAGCTAGTGTACGCCCATGGTGATAGTCTTCATGCTTTTGTGGATGTCAACGGTAGATAGATCACATGGAAACAAGCTTGTAGAGATATCAAAGTCAGGCGGACACCCCAACAACCAATCGACGTGTTTTTGCAACATGGCACAGGTGCACATTCGAAAGACACAAACAGAAGTTGAACAGTTGTTGTAGATCTGACTTTGCTCAGCTAAGCTTCGATGATGATTAGCCACTAACTACCTAGAACCAAATATTGAGGCATCTTAGCCACTTTGACATGTTTTTTCCATCATCCATCAACCTGGTCATTCTCTGGGTGTGAAAACCGCACAACCCTGGTTGGCCCCCCCAATCACTGGCAGCACAGGCAGGGTGCAGCACCCGTCAAACATCCGCCTGGTCTTGTATCTCTGCCTCACTGAGCACCACAGTGCCCTCCAAAAGCTCATTCCACCTGCGCAGGACAAGTGCTGCAGTATGTTGCAGGAAAAGGAGTCAGCAGAGTCGGTCCAAGTGGTTTGCTGACTGGTCTGCTTTTGAGGGTTTGGATGTTGGGTATCTAGGCCCGATCTTTCCCAAGCCAGGAGTGTCTGTGGGACTCTGGCATTTATTTGCTGATCAGTTGGGGTGGTTGATTTCAGGGGTCTTTCTGGGGCGGCATACGCCAGTCCCAGACAGGTCCTGTCTGGGAAATGGACATGAGATGCATCAGTTCCTGAATAATCCCTGACGCTCAGGTGGTTTGGGACCTGAAAAAGTGGATCAAGATTTATATAGAACGCCTGGTCACAGCAGAACCAAGGAGCTTTGGTTTTGGAACACCTGTCGAACTTCCTGTAGCTGAAAGTAGGAACAAACAAGCAGGTGGGCGGTGGGCGCTGCAGGAATTTGAACGTACAAATAAATAGCTTTTGGATGAAGAATTGCCACTATAGTGCAGTTCTGTAGACAACTCGAGGCGCAAGCAAAGGTAGCCAGCCTGAAGCTAGAACATTCCAACATATTACAAAAATGGACTCCAAAGGACTTACCACGTGGCGGGCCGACAACTCAAGGGCCTTGATTCAGAGTGGTGGCCAGCTAATCACTACAAACTATAGTCTATACAGTCATGAAAGTTAATGAAAGTTCATTGAGGTTCACCATCGAACACCTTTCATACATTTTCATACCATAAACATCTTACGTCTTAAGTGCATTCCTCAGCCAGCCGCCCCCGCGATCTAGGTCTCGGCACCAATTCTGTAGGGGCCGAGAACCCCTTGGCTCGCGCGCCAGCTCCACCTCCCACCAACGGGGAGAGTAGCCTTGGCTCGGCTTCGGCCATCTCCAGCCCAGCTCGCGCAAGGCGCGAGAAGAACATCCAGATCAACTCTTCGGCCAGATCCGTTCGGACTGGTGGAGACCAAAAACCCAAACGTCATCCACCAGTCTTCAAAGAGAGCAACTTCTTCACCCAACGTCCCTGGGTTTTTTAAACGGACTGGTGAGACTCACCCAACTTCAAAGAGAGCAACTTCTTCACCCAAC